GATCATCTTCGACACCCCGGTGGCCAAGTTTAAAAATATTCAAATATAATAATGAAAGATCAAAAATTAAAACGTTTTAGTAAGACAACATGTAAATAGATAAATTTTCTATTATTCAACGCTTTTACACCTGCTTTAAGCTGAATATCTTTTAAACTACCACCATTCTCCCTTAAGGGGATCATCTGGTACACCTTTCCACTAGATAGGAAGCGTACACCTATAAATCGTGAAAGTAGCAAGGCATATTTCAGGCACGGTTTGCTAGAAGACGCTTGTTCGAATCAGCCAGATCGAAGGAATTATTTGTAAGTGTTCGGTCTTTGTATTAATAATTATAACAAACTAGTGGAGTAATTTAAAAAAATAATTGACTACCATGGTGGTCAAAAAACTTAAAAAATTACAAATTATTTACTGTTAATATCTACAATTTAAAGTTAACCCTGTTGGCATATTGTTGAAAGCTTAATACCATCAATACCTATTATTGCAAGTTACGATGTTTTGCTTTTATATTAAAATTTAAATCATGTGCTGCCATCTAGCGGTCAATAGCTGAACGACGACGAATCGAGATGTTTACCGAGTTCTCCAAACAAGGAAGCAGCAAGGAGGCGATCATATCGCAGCACTATAAAGTTTACTTCCTTAAGTTTCTTGTAATAAAAAAATATCTTATCATTATCCGTGGACACAGTATACACCGTTGGGCCACCGAAGTGCGAATATTTTCTCACTAAGATGAAAACAAAAGAAAAAAACAAACTCATGTCATAATAGTTTTTAATCAATTAGAAAAAACCTACATTACGTTTTACAAAATTTTATTCATTATACATATAATAATTAAAATATACAAAATACATTAGTTAAGGAGAACATTAATCTTTATTTGGTTTTTTTTGCGCAGTTAAAAAACACAATTGAATCCTTGTTCTAAGGGCGCTTTCAAATTAGACGCTTGTAGAAGCTGTGCAGTGGCGCCATTATGGGGCGACAACCGCGCGTTTATCTTCAGTAACTTTTACATTACGAAATACTTTCATAGATTTCTCATAGATGGCGCTACGCCTAAAAGTGGTTGAAAACCAAGATCCGACAACAAGCACATAGAAAAATTCGTGAGGTCCGCTGGTTCGTTCCGTGGCTTATTTGGCATAGTGTCTGCCACGGTTTGCTGTCGGTTCGAATCCCGCCGGATCGAAGGAATTTATTCTATAATTATAACAAACTAGTGGAGTAATTTCACAAAAAATAATTGAATATCAATACAAATTTAACTTTTATATTAGTTCACTAATTGTAACTGCAAATGTGGCGCGCGCGTGTTATGACATGGTTATGACAGTGGCGCTATTGTGCTTCTAAATACCTATGAAAATTATAAGTAGTACCATTGACTTACAATTATATGGACGTCGGGTCCGCGCTAAAAAGTGTCCGAACTTATAGGGCGTTAAAATCGTATACAGAGCGTCATTCACGCTTTAGTCTTCGTTTGTTCGACTGACAGCGAAGCAAGCAAAATTAGACAGTACTGCGATGACATTACAATTTAAATCTAACCATTTAGCTTTTTCATATTCCTTTACATGTCACTAGTTTAAATAGGTTGACTTTTTTTTCGTGGTTTTTGTATTACACCCGTCGTCCATTTATTTGTAAGTCAATGAGTAGTACCACCGCAGCGCTTGTGTAGGCTTTTAATTTGTAATTATTTAGCGATGTAGTTTCAATTACGTTTGGCACTAACAAAAACCCGTTTATTCCCACTAGTTCTGTTGCACAGTTCTGTTCACAGAACTACTAGTACTTTTTTCTCATTTGTTCTGTTGATAGGCAGTTGTCTTCACAGATCTATTGAGAATTTTCTCTCCCACTATAGTCCATTTCAATGTGACGTTTGAAATTTGAAGTTTCTAGAGATGTAGTGATGTAAAATCGCATAAAAAAATCGATGTAAATATCTTATCGAGACAAATTGTAACGAAGAGGGAATCGATTTACAGTAACCAAACAAAAAGTCAACATTAAAGCATAAAATCCACAGCAATGAAACGGAATTTGAACAATCACTCCAAAAAAATCAGGTAAAGCTAAAAACAAAAAAAAAAACCCCGATAACAAGGTATATAAATGCCTCGTATTGGAGAGAGTTATACAAAAGCAGATTCGATTTATCGATTCTATGGTGTAAATCTCTATGGACAAATAATCCGTTTTACGCATCAAGCAGTTGGGGTAATTAGTTTTTATATTTATTATTTAATTTTCTGTCTACATAATATACTACAATTTTTACTTAAAATTACATGTACAACAAATATTGCTTGATTTTGGTACATTACAACAAATTTACTATTTATTTTTGTAACCTGGTTGACAGATTATTTATAAATCGTATGCGTGCAACGTAAAAATTAGAAGTGACACATAACTTATCCCTATTGAAATGGACTATAGTTCTGTTGACAGAACTACTGGTACTTTTGTTCCCATTTGTTCTGTTGACAAATAGACAGTCTTCTTCACAGAACTACTGACAAATTTTCTCTCCCACTAGTTTCTGTGTACGAGTTTTCAGTCTAGAGTTGTATTTGTAAATGTGTTAAAATAACATTTGCCATATTTCCACGCCCTGTCTAGTAGGTAAGCTTACATCATTCATCATCATTTCAACCAAAAGACGTCCACTGCTGAATATAGGCCTACCTCAAAGAATGCCACAACGATCCAGCGGATTACCGCAGCCTTCTCCAGGTCTTCAATCCACCTTGCGGATGGTCTGCCCACGCTGCGTCTTCCGGTACGCGCTCGCCACTCGAGAACTCTTCAGCCTCATCGGACATCTGTTCTGCGAGCAATGTGCCCTGTCCACTTAAGTTTTGCAATTCTTTGGGCTATGTCGGTTACTCTGGTTCCCTTGCGGACATCCTCATTACTCATTTGATCTCGCAATAAAATTCCGAATATAGCCCTTTCCTTTGCCCTTTGAGTGACCTTGAGCCTTCGTATGGGCCCAACTTGTACAACTTAACAAGCTTATACAATTAAGTGTTTTATTGAATTTCAGATATTCAATTTTCTTTTTTGTGAAATTATCCACTAGTTTGTTATAATTATTAATACAAAGGTCGAACACTCAGAATAAGTTAATTCGATCCGCCCGAATTGGAACCAACGTCTATGTCACCAAGTAACCAGCGGACCTCACGAATTTTTCTATGAGCTTGTTGTCGGATCTTTGTATCGGGTTTTTTTAACGACTTTTTAGTCATAGCGCCATCTATGAGAAATCTATGAAAGTGTTTCGTTACCCAGTTAGCTAGAACACGGCACGGTTTGCTAAAAGACGTCATTTCGAATCCGGCCGGATCGAAGGAATTTTTTTGTTTAAGTGTTATGGCGCATCCACACATGCCGCCGGGTTTCAGACCGCCTTGCCGCTGAAAGCAGGCCGCCGGCTTTACCGGCGGCCTGCAGATGCGGTTGCAATTTTCGCAGTAGTGTTGTTAAATTATGTTATATATGAATACGACTACACTACCACTCCGTATCGAACACAGAACAATATTACCCTAAAGGGTATCGAAGCCGCAAGCAAACTGCCGCCGGCAACCAAAAGCCGCGCGTGTCGCGGCTGAGATGCGGCAAATGCCGGCGGCACGGCCGCCGGCCATGCCGCCGGGCATGTGTGGATGCGCCATTAGATGTTTATATGAATAATTGTAACAAGCTTATATAACTTAATATTAAACTTATTGCTTCGGATATTTTCTAGCGATTCCTACGATTATTACTAGTTCATATAAATAATTTATATAATTTTAAACACAGGGTTATTTTTTAAACAACCTCAGACGGTATTAAGCATTACCTAAAGTGCAAGCTTCGGTGTTATTCGGGTACAGACGAATATAATTCATTATTACCAACCCGTTGTACGTCCCACTGTCGTGCACGGGTCCTCCAAGGCTCTCCTTAAATATGTTTTACATTCTCTCCTTAGACGCCCCATATAGCCCCGCAGTATTTCGCGGGTGTGTGTATGGATACATACATAGAAATACAACCAGTAGTGTAAGGACAAACGAGTCGTGCGCCTGATGGTAAACTAGACGCCTGTCCATAATAGTTTAAGAGGCACTGTCACTGCGTCCGTCACATTGAGACATAAGTTGACAAGTCACATGTGCCTGTAATGTCACCAGCACCTTTATTCGAAGCTGGGACGCAATAATGCTGACATTACTGCTTGGCGGCGGTAATAGGTAAAGTGGCAGTACTTTCCTGGACGAGCTCTTTCACAAGGAGCACTACTACTCCTACGATTGTGAAGATACACGCCTTTTACCAATGCTACATACGCGGTTTTGCACTATCCCAGACGATATGTTTAAAATATATATATATATATATTTCCAATTTAAAGGCACACTTCCCATAAAGTGTCGATCATTGGTGGTACCATTACGCTACTTATAATTTTATTCAAATGTGTACCTGAAGACGCCAATTACGAAGCTCTATACATTGATATTAATTTTGTTACATAATAACATAGAGTCTACAACCAGAAATAGAGACGAAATGTCATTTCATTTATTTGAAAACTGTTCTGCCAAATCATTGCGGTGACAACTGCGCTTCGATTGGCCAGCCCGAATATGAAACAATTGACGGGTGTCGTCAATTGTTTCACTTCAAATCGACCAGTTTAACGTAACCTTTGCTATAGTGGACGAAAACTGAAAAATTACATATTTAATATTTATGATGTTTGAGATGTTTTGCTGTTTTTCCCACGCCACCGAATGGAACAGCCCCTGTTGTTGGATATATTATCTTTATTACAATAAATACAGAATATTTTTGGAATATACGGAGACGTACACACAGGTCTGTTGTTGGCGCTGTACTATTTCAGATTTCTAATTTGTGATCTCAACGCAAACGAGAGATGATATTTAAAAGTGATACAAGGCCCATTTGCTTGATGAGTTGCCAGGCATGAATGGCCCTTATTTCGTCTCTATTTCTGGTTATACACTTGTTGCATAATAATATAAAATACAATTGGTTCTATCGTTGTTTAGTTGCCCTCAAATGTCTGAGCGCGCAACGAGCTGCAGTGCCCTTGGCGATTCTGTAGTTTCGACCTACGCCCTTGAAGGTTCCTCTTCCGAATACTTCCACGCAGACGCGCACACGCCTTCCGTCGGCTAGACGCTCAGGTTTGCTGTCGACAAATTCATATTATTTTTATTTTTATTATCGAATTTTTGGTGCTGGTGAAATCACAGGCACATGGGACTTGTTGACTTATATGTCTCAGGGTGACGGGCACAGTGGCAATGCCTCTAAGGTCTTTGTGATTACAAGCTCTGAGTGGCACTGCAACTGTTATGGATAGGCGTGTTGCTTACCATCAGGTGCATGACTTGTTCGACCCGCCATTTTGTATAAAAAAAAATACACCCGACGAGAGAAACAAATGTAGGCCATACATATATTTCTGCAGGCCCGGGAATGGAACCTGGGACCGTTGCGTGGCAGTCCAGCATGGTAACCGTTCGGCCACGGAGGCAGTTTATAATAAGTAGGGAATAATCTGTTCGTCCCGTCCCTTGATATTGTAAAAAAAAGCTTATCCAAATTGAATTAAAGAGGGATTCTCATGCATCTTAATACCTCATAGGCGATGATGCCATTATGACAGTTAAAGTCGGAAAAATGGCTCAAGAATGACAGTGCAATGATAGCACAACAACCGATACCATGACGGTTGTGTCAAAATGACAAGCTATGACAAGCAATGATGGCTCATAACCGCTAATGAAATTCAAATTTTACTAGAAAGATAACTGATGACATGTCGATCATGCCGGAATGACAACTAATGGCAAATGATGACATGAACAGCGAGAACTGATTATGCCAAGCGACAAATAGTGATGACACCCCAAACCCCAGAACAAGCTCATCCAAATTGAGTTAAAGAGTGATTTTCATGCATCAGAATGACTGGGTAATGATAGCACAACAGCCGATACCATGATAGTTGTGCCAGAATGACAAGAGATGACGACCCATAATCGCTAATTAAATTCAAATTTTACCAGAATGACAGTTGATGTCATGGTGTTCATGTGTATGGCAACTAATGACCAATGACCGCAGAAAATTTGATTTAATATTCGTACATAAACTTGTTAACGGTCCATTAGATTGCCCCGAGTCATTGAATACTCCTTGTAGGTTGTCCAGGAAAAGCGCTTACAACTTTTTTGTCGTACCAGGTTCAATAACGAATCTCGGTCATTTCACTCTTTTGCCAAGGCTCTGGAGAACGTATAACTCGCTTTCGGGTTTTCGGGTTAAACAATTACAAAAGAAGGCTGGGTGATGTTATAGATACATAAATTACATTTCAATTAATTTTATAGTATAGTCTGTTACAATCCATTTTAAACAAAAAGTTAACAAACCTGTTTGGTCAAAATTCTAAAGCAATCAGTCAATAAATCGAATAACTAACACTTTAAAGAATATTTCGAAGATTTCGGCTTGATATATCATCACTTGTTCCAACAATATTCATTGGAATAGCATCGTAAAATCGTATTTGAAAAATAGTAGTCCAAAAGTGAGGTTATTATTCATTTATACTTCTATGACTTGCCTATGGTTGGATAGTGCTGTTCGAAAAAAACATTCCGTTTAATCAATTAAAGTTTAGTAATCGATTATTACATCGAACATTTCAATCGCAATCGGACGAGTATCTGAGTGTAAGGATTTGAAGGAGGATTTGAATTGAAATTTTAATAAATATACTTATTACCGCTCACGCGATGCGCTCTTCCTACCGCAAAATGGCGGCTATTTCGTTTCGCAAAATAGAAAAGAATTCAGTTTAAATACAAGTTTTTATAAATAAAAATTATATTCTGCATTGCTAAATAAATACCCTACGTACTACCAACAAAAACATCTCAAATAAAATGCAGTAATACACCGCAAATCCTGCACTTAAAAAGCACTAATTAAATTTTTGGTGTACTTGGATAAACATGATAATATTCCGTTTGAGTGGTTCTAACGTTTACCATGAAATTACTCCTTAAAGTATAGTTTATAAACATTTATATTCAGGGTAAATTTAAAAAACGCTACTTACGGTATGTTTTCAATAAATAAACACCGAAATCACCAGCCCAAACAATAACACACACGATTGTCGTGACGTATTTTTGAAGTTGATTTTTTTTTAATGACAGAAAACTTTATGGTTTGCTAGAGTAGTTACCGAAATAGCAATTAATATTACTTCTTTTACCTGTTATAACTTCGATATCCGATAAATCGGTATAAAATCATCACTGGCACCTCTAGGTGTGGTATGCGTCTACGGCTGCATGTATCGCGTGAGCGGGAAAACTGCTAGTATGACTCAATTGAACAAACCGATTTATTCAGTTATTTAATCGATGTGTAATTGGCGTTACAATTGGCCATCACTAAACCGTCTATGGTCGGGTCAGTGACTTGTTTGTTTATTTTTTGTTCAAAATGGATTGAAACGAAGTATACTTAGTAAATTATCTCTAATTGATATTTTAATATTTTTAATTTTTAAATCAGCTTCTGTATATCGATTTTATAAGTAGATAGGTTAATTATAAATTCGCATAATTTAAAACAACAATAATTTTGTTAATATTTCATAGCATATTGCTGTCATTGTATGCTGTGATGTTCCTTAAGTGTAGAAGCACTTAGTTTTAAAGCTATTATGATCGATGTATAATGTGTAGTGTTTTTCTATGTGGAATGTCCTGAATAAATAAATAATGGCAAATGATGACATGAATATTGTCAGCTTATGATACCGAAAAAAAATATCACAAACTATAGACCAATAACACTTATACCTATAATGTCTAAGATATTTGAAAAGTTATGCATAAGCGAATAATGAAATTCACAAACAAATTTAACATAATTAAAAATAATCAATATGCTTTTAGAGCCGGTAAGTCGACGACTTTAGCATGTTTTCAGCTAATGCACAAAATAATTACCAATTTAAACGACAAAAAGAATACAGTTGGTATATTCTTTGACATGTCGAAAGCTTTCGATTTTGTAGAGCACAACATACTAATAAGTAAACTGGAAAATTATGGAATCAGAGGTATAGCCTTGGAATGGATGAAGTCTTACTTGAAAGATAGGAAGCAGTGTGTAGAGATTGTAAACGTAGGTACAAATTCTATAATTAAGACATTCAGATCAAAATATAGAGTGAACGGATATGGTGTTCCTCAAGGAAGTGTGCTAGGGCCTCTTCTATTCATCTTGTATATTAATGACCTCCCAAATGTAACGAATTATGATTGTGTTCTATTTGCAGATGACATTTCAGTAATTGTACCAATTGACAAAACCACTGACATAGAAACTAATGAATTAAATTTAAATGACACACTAATTTCAAAAACAAAATGGTTAAAATTAAATAATTTGAATGTTAATATTAACAAAACTAATTATATACAATTTGTAAATCACTGTGGACGTAAATATAAACTTAATATAAATCATGAAGGACAGCCATTGAAGGAGTTAAATGATACTTGTTTTCTCGGACTTCAAATTGATGATCACTGCAACTGGAAATGTCACATAAATAGGGTCTGTAACAAAATAAGTGGCTATGTGTATATGATGAGTCAACTTAAAAGAACAGCAATGCGTCAAACCTTACTCACAGCCTACTATGGTCATGTTGAGTCTCATCTTAGATACGGACTATTGTTATGGGGAAACAGTACTGATGCTGACAGGGCCTTCAAAGCCCAGAAAAGATGTGTGCGTGCAATGTATGGGGCGCCACCAGACCAGTCGTGTCGACCTTTATTCATAAAATTTGGCATTTTGTCTCTCCCTAGTCTGTATATATATGAGTTGTGTATATTTGTACGAAATCACGAAGGTTTGTTCAAACGAGTTAAAGATAATTTAAACCGATATGTAAGGCACCAAAACAGGCTTGTTGTGGACTCTATACCCAGAACAGCATTATACGTGAAGAGTTGTTATGCAATGTGTGTCAAGGTCTATAATAGTTTGCCTGAAACTCTCAAGTCACAACCAATAAATAAATTTAAATACTCACTAAAGCTTTGGTTAAAACAAAAAACATTTTATGATGTAAATGAAATATTTGATTAGGTTAGGTATATTTTTATGTAATGTGTACTGTGTTGTGTATGGACATTTGATTCTTTGACATGGTTTTTATTATGATTTTATTTTATTTTATTGCTTCTTTTTTGACATTCTTTAGTCTTTAATGCACATTTAATTTGAAATATTGTATTGTATTATGATTTAAAAAACCATAATTGTATATTGTATGTCAGAAATGACTAAAAGTGTGAAATTACATTATATAACTTTTCCATCCATTGTACCACTTTTAAAACAATAAACGAATTTTGAATTTTGAATTTTTGAATGAAAAATAATGACGACACACCCAAACTCTAACACATACTGAAATTGAATTAATATGCTATTTACTGTTAAGTTCAATCAGTCGTCATAACCGCTAACGAAATTCAAATTTTACCAGAATGACAGGTGAGCTGCCAGCTGACATGATGCTCGTGCCGGAATGACAACTAATGGCAAATGACGAAGTGAACAGTGACAACTGATAATGACAACTGAAAAACAATAATGACACACTTACCCAAACTTAGCAGTATCCGGTTCTGCCTCCAACAACTCCCTGACCGGTGACTTCGGTGCAGCTGCACTAAAGGCTTCGAGTTCAGCTCCCATCAAATTCACGTAAGACCTCCACACTGCTCCAAGGGACATTCCTGATAAGAATAATAATAATGCACACACTCAACATAGCCCCGCACTAGGGAAACCCTGTGTCGCAGGTGCCATGGACACACACATAGACAACCACAAATTACACCCAAACTCACGAGAGAAATAAATGTAGGCCATACAAATATTTCTCCCGGCCCGGGAATCGAACCCGGGTACCTATGCGTGGCAGTCCGGTATGGTAACCGTTCGGCCACGGCAGTTATATAAGAAACAGATAGATTAAATGAATACTTCGTCGGCTTATTGCAAGAAGTCACTAACTGAACAAGAATGATTAAGAGGGAGCAGAGGAAAAATTCCTAATCTTCGATTTGATTTTAGAGGGGTGTATCCACTTTAAATTTAAAAATAAAATATTGTATGAGTAACTACACGATATATTCAAGCATAGGCATTAATCAGAAACATAAAACAATAAAGCTTCCTCGATAGATAAAAATCACGGAATGACCTCTAATTTTCACATTTTTTCGATTTATCCTCGAAATTCTACAGGTTATTAGGACAAAAATAAGATAATTAATTATATTTATGCATGATCGACAACTGTCACTACGGATTTTTTTAATCCCTTTAGTTTTAGAGTTATTCCGCTAAAACGAATTTGGTACTTTTAATGCGCAAAATTCAACATCTCCTGTCGCATGTCACGCGAACTTCAGGCATATATTTGTTTCACAAATTTGGGCGGAGCCAACGTCAAATCTTTTTTGGCATGAGAGCTCTTAAGAATAGAACAAAAATTTCAGGAGAGCATTTAATAACTTTTTCTTATATTGAACGGCCGTAGGATCGTAAGTATTGTATTAATTAAAAAAAGAAATATTTGTCAGTCGTGCAATAAGCCGGCGATTTAGTACAGAACGGTGAAAGTGGTCTATCTTCAGGTGTAGTTCAGCATACATACCCGAGTCTAGGAAAATCGCCCCAGCCACTGATTCGAAGAGGTCTCCTAAGGCCTTTGGAACTTCCACGTCTTCAGCTTGTTCCATTTCGTCCTCTTGTATTAAATAGTGCTGGAAAAAGAATTTATATTATACAGATTTATTTGTAAAATATTAACAACCTTGTAGGACTATATTACTGACATCATAAACAACAACTTTTGTTCCAACTAGTTTTGTTAGGCTTATGAATACAACAATCGAACACAGAAAAATTTCGTCTACCCGGTGGGACTTGAACTCATGTCCATGCTGCATCGTAGCTTTGCTCTAACCATCTGAGCCACGGGTCCAGTTACCGAGTCGTCGAAATTATCCCGTGTGTTTTTGTTATAGATCTTTGTACGACATTCGTCGCCGCTAGTGACATCTAGTGAGAGATTTTTGAATTATCTTCAAACCGCAGCCGATACCTTTACAGGTATCGGTTGTAAAGGTATCCGTTTAACTCTAACAGGTAGTCTCGATCTAAGATGTTTAAATTAAATTTTGTAATGATAAATCGACACATCCGTAGAACAAAGATCTATGTGCAAGACTACTTGTTCTCAGGACAAAGTACATTTCGTTCGTTCCTTCTTCGCTGTGGATGTCAGATCGACTGTTGTTCGATTTTATATTTCCGAAACGAAATAAGGTACATAAATTGTCGAAACACCTTTTCATAAGCCTTAGTTTGAATAACTAAATTATTCTCGTACCGTACCTATTCTCTTGTCGCTGTATAATCACATCGGACTCTGTTCTTCGGATGAGTCGAAATGTATTCAAATGTATATTTACAAAGAGCAACCCCTAGAGTTTCTTGCTCGTTCTTCTCAGGGGAATCTGCCTTACGAACGATTACGAGCGATTTCCAGAGTAATTAGCTTATCTATGAAATAAGGATGATTTTATTTTACTCCTGTGGTGTTATGGAATGTGAGTGCAAGCTTTGATATGATCAAAAAAATATATTTACCTCCTCGCTTATAGAATGGCCGTTCTCTTCTTGAATCTTAATGTATTTAGTTAATACTTCGTTAAGACCGGGCGACATGTGTCGGAAATATCTGAAATAAAAAATATTGTTTAGTCGGTTACATTTTTTTATAATACCAAATGACGGGACGAGCAAGTCGCGCGCCTGGTGGTAAGCGAGACGCCTGTCCACAGCAGTTTTAGTAGCATGTGAAATAGTTTTCCAGGGAAGTATTGACACCTTACCTATTTTTGCCACCAAGCAGTAATTTCAGCATTACTGTGTTCCGGTTTTGAAGGGCAAGGGTGCTGGTGAAATTACAGGCACTTGGGACTTGTCAAGTTACATCTCAGTGGCAGTGCCTCTCAGATATTTGCGATTTAAAGATCTTAGTGGCACTGCAACTGTTATGGACAGACGTGTCGCTTACTTACAGCCTGAAACGACTTGTGCTTATATAAAATAAATGTAATTAAAAAAGGTGTAACAAATGATTTTCACAATCAACTTACTTGTGGAACCCGTGTCTGGCAGCGAGCGTGGCGAATATGGTGTTGTTCACCAGCGCCGACCGGAGGTCTGTGAGGGCGCCCGGAGAGTGACGCCGAGGGTCCTCGTAGAGGTGACGAGTTATCAAATAGTCTAGTTAACAATAATAAACAACTGGGTGACGAAATAGTTTCTCATTCGATTTCTGATCCGATTTTCATGATTCTTTTTTTTTTGTTGGAAAGAGGTACACAGTATTGGTTCTATTTTAATAATAATAATAATAATAACGTTTATTGCAAAACATGTTGTTACATAATAGTTCTTATAGTAGTTTACAGTATCAAACATGTACCCTGTAGCAATGTCAATTTTTTAAATATACATTTTGATTACCATTAATTAAAATATCTATTTAAATTTGAACAAAATATTCCAACTCCAAGGGTAGTAAATTAGGGGATAAATCAGAACTATTGGATTTCAACCACTTTCCGTTAAAGAATAGATGTATTTCCACAAACAGTTGAAGTTGTTTTTTTTTTTTACAAAAAAAAAGGTGTAATTATTTACATTGTAGTTGGTTTTTGTTGTTATTTATTGTGGTGTCTTTTGTGGTAACAAACTAAATGTCTTTTCCTTTTAAATTTTTATTGAATTCATATTCAATTATTTTTATGTGAAATTACTCCACTAGTTTGTTATAATTATTAATACAAAGATCGAACACTCAGAAAAAATGCCTTCGATCCGGCCGGCGTCGAATCGACGTCATCTTGCATACCGTGGCAGATGCTGTACTAACTAAGCCACGGAACGAACCAGCGGACCTTACGAATTTTTCTATTTGCTTTTGTCGTATCTTTGTATTTGGTTTCTCAACGACTGTTCTTGACTTGTCTTTCCTTCTTTTCAGTTGCAAATTGTTCAAGTGTCGCAAAATGTGCTAGTAGGGTACAAACTTACCCAATATGGCGTCTCCGAGAAACTCCAGCCGCTGGTAGCAGTCTGTTAACCTGTTCTGCTGGTGCGAAGCGTGAGTTAGAGCTTGCAGAAGCAACGACCGATCCTTGAATCGGTACTGGAGCGTCCTTTCCAGGTCATCGTATCCTGAAGAAAGAGAATAACAACATAATATATTTTTCATCACACTTGCACGTAAATAGTATGATAGCATGGTGGCTAACTTGACTCTAATACCGCAAATAGAACTTTATTCCCATTACAGCCATGGTCGGTATGGAGTTTTTTTATTTGTAACACGACATACTTCCTTACATTGGTCAGGTTCAAGATCAAGCAAGTAGGTTACTTAAGTTCACATAAATACTAATTTCTTATAATTGATTTTAATTATTTTCTGAAAAAAATTAAGATTTGTCAAATAATTGAGATCTGTCGTGGGGTCTGGCAGGGCTGCATCCTGTCTCCGCTGCTTTTTAATGTTTACTCGGAGGCTGTGATGTCGAAGGCGCTTGAAAACCTTGAACTTGCGTTATGCATACGACACTATTCTCATTACAGCATCGGAAACCGATTTGCAAGCAATTGTAAATAAGGTTAATGAATGTAGCCAGAACGCCGGTTTATCAATGAAAATAAACAAGCCGAGGTTCATGTCTCGAGAAATCCGGATTTGAACCCTAACGTAGCTGGGAAACAACTGTACGGATACGACAGTACAAATATTTGGGGGCTTGGGTAAATAAAGCATGGGAATCTGATCAGGAAATCAAGACCCGGATAGGAATTGCTCGAGCGTCTTTTAACAACATAAGGAAAATTCTGTGCTGTCGTAAACTGAACATAAAGCTCCGAGTCAGGTTATTTTTATGTCATTTGAGATGTGGTGCTACCGTCGCATGTTGCGCATTGATTGGACACAGAGGGTCTCTAACGAAACCATGCCTTAGCCGTTCATATGTCCCGGAAAATGATGCCATCTATCAAAAGGCGTAAACGTGATCAGGGACAATAGATACACGCTGCTACAGCTAATAAAGATGGGCAAAGTGCAGGGAAAGAGGCACGCTGGGGGAAGCAAGAAATCGTGGCTGCGGAACGTCCGGCAGTGGATTGCCTCGGTCGAACAGCTGTTTCGGTTGGCTGCTGATAGAGATGGATACAGGAAGCTGACGGCCAACCTTCAGCATTTAAGAGGCACTCTAAGAATAAGAAGAAAAGAAGTTTGCTAATTTCATGGCTGTATGATCTTTGCTTTTTACAATATTTTAGTTCGAGTTGTATTATTATCTATGGAAGAATAACTAGCTGGCCATTTTGGCCCGCTATTTGCAATATCCATTGTGCTGTGAATAATATTTATTTGTACAAGAAATAAACATTGTGTTTATTTCCTCGCGAATGTGATGAAAAGCATTGTATGTATCATTGACGGTAAAAAACTACAAAACTAGAGTAATTAAAGACCTCAGCCTTCGGCTTCGGGCAACTAATAGGCCCCCGTTGGTAATTACTTATTTATCGTCCTAATTGACAATGCACTATTTCATCATACTTGCACTTAAATAGTATAATTACATGCAGGCTAACTAAAACCAATACAAATAAAACCCTCGCGCCTTTTTTTTACTATAAATAAAAAGGCCCAAGGATTTTATTTGGGGCATTATAGTCAAGTTAGCCTGCATGCAATTATACTATTTACTCGCAAATGTGATGAAAAACATTGTATATTTCACGGGCGGTACGAATTGCGAACTTCGACTCCGTAAGCCCTCAGTGTTCGACTTCGGACTTCTAATAGAGTTTCGTTCGTAATAGCTTATTTACCGCTCTTTAGTACGCAATATACTAATCTTGTTACGAGTGTGCGTAAACGTGTTTTTATACGACAGTTGCAATGCCATTCGCAGCTTTAAATCACAAAGACTTGAGTGGCACTGTCATTGCGCCTGTCACCATAAGACGTAAGTTGACAAGTCCCATGTACCTGTAATTTCACCAGGACCCTTATCCTTCAAAACCGGAACGCAGTAATGCTCATATTTCGGCTATGTAATGCTTGCAAAGCAAAAAACACTCTTAATATCATCGTGTTAAGAGTGTCATCAATTTAAGCATTTAAAGAAAAATATTAAGTCCCGCACTCACGGGAGAAATAAATATAGACCATACAAATATTTCTCCCGGTCCGGGTATCGGCACCTCTGAAGCAGTTAGCTTGGGTTAAGACTCACTTAAGTATAATGAAAGTGGACATAAGTGGCACTGTATCTGTTATGGACAGGCGTATCGCTTACCAACAGGCGCACGACTTGTTCGTCTCGTCACTTCGTATTATTTTAAACAAAATGTGTGTGTTTAGAATGGTAAACAAACCTGACAACATTCGATCTAGTTCGCCCTCCGGATCGTCGATGTATCGCAAAAGGGGGGATGGCGGCGCTTTCAATTCACCGAAGATAGGCTGCAACAAAAGTAAACAAAAATATAATAAATAAATAAAGCACACACTCATAGCCCACGTATTGTCAGGTAAGTGTATGTATAAAAACTAAATAGTTCAAAGAAACATCTCTTGCCGTGTTGCTGTAGTGCTGGTAGCTGTAAAGGTACCTAACTCGGTAAAGCAATACTTTCATAGAATTCTCACAGATGGCAAAAAGCTACGCAAAAAAAGTTGTTAAAAACAAGTCGTGCGCCTCATGGTAACCTATACGCCTGTCCATAACAGATGCAGTGCCACTCAGAGCTTTAAATCGCAAAGATCTAAGGGGCACTGCCACTGCGACACCCTGAGACATAAGTTGACAAGTCCCATGTGCCTGTAATTTCACCATCACCCTTACCTTTCCAAACCGGGACGCAGTAATGCTAACATTACTGCTTAGCAGCATAAATAACGTGGAGCTCTACTCCTACTACAATGGGATGGGTGTCGATCGTCAACGGGAGTAGACTCCCAGAAACAACTATACAGACAAGCCGGTTAAAAATTGGCTGCAGTAGATTTCGCATATAAGTGTGGTGATTTTTCTCATAGACACACTGTTGTAAAGGTTGGATCACACTTGGACTTGAACAGCTTAGTAGGTCACTGATACACGCGACATTACGAGTTTGCATTGCATATATTTTTGTAGAATTGCCTACATCTGCTGTCTGCAGCTCTTGTGACAACACCCTTAAAGGCTCTGGTATAAAATAATGGGACAATGTTATGTAATCCTCAAAGGTATAAGAATCTACATTTACTATAGATTCAGCACTTTTTTAAATAAACGTTTTTTTTAATGTTTGATACAGGCTGTATATTTGAAAGTGAGACGTATTCGTACATGTCATAGTAAATCATGTTACAGCTTAACATAGACTAAAATAAAATTAGGATATGGGATAGAACAAGAAATAAAATTTAAGCTTGATTTCGAGTGCATTGGGAATACTACCAAACGAGGGCCGAGTGAGACAGCAACAATAACAATGATTTCACATCTCTCTCTCACCTACTCATTTATGTTATGATGAAAAAGCTGTTATCGAAATGATAACGTTTTAGCTTATGTTAATTATTTTTTACTTATGAACTATAATCGAAATGTTTTACGTACTAAAAAAGATAATTAAGTTATCATTTAATAAGAATTGAGGTTTATGGCGTAGTTAAAAATGTGAAATCAAATTATTTACAATGATTGATTTTTTAGTTATTTACAGTTACGTGGTACGGAGCGTTTTCCACAATGCATAGTCTAGCACGTCGTGGTAAATTTTGTTTTAAATTGATCAACACAAACACATTTTGTCTCACAGTATAAAATGCTGAGATAATCCTCTCTTGCAACAACTTCGACACTGTTCACCTCCTCCGCGTACACTTCAATTTGGGAACATTTCAATAGCTCGCCTCATACTAACACCACTTATTGCGTAGAGTCGCACCATCTCAATCAATTCGACGTTAGAATAAATATCCATTTTGCAGGCGAGAGGCGCGTTCGCCGCCGGCGCAGTGTTCGGGCGAGCGGAAGTACAAATAATTTACGTGTTTTCGCTAGGCCAAGGTCGCACGTACACTGTCTCTGCAAACAGTGCCGACCTGTGCTTTGTTCTCGCCGCTGCGTCAGTCGAAGTAATAATAGTGGTGTGCATAGATTTCGATAAGTAATGTTGTTCACAAGTAGTAGTCGATAAAAAAAAAATAATAATAAAAATGCACAGTTTAAGTTCATTAGTTTTTTTTCAGAATCAGGAATATAACGCACTCTATAAGTATGCTTCACTTACAAATGTACAGCCTGTATATGTCGAGACAGGATTCGATTCTTCTATGAATGTTAGGCCCTCTTCCATGGTGATATAACAATTTAATAATAACACAGCAAAGTAGACAGTGACTGGTTCTAAGCAGTTTTAACAATTACACAGATTAAATACACATGATGCCTTTGATTGAAAAAGATAGAAACGCGGAGATCCCAGTGACGACGTTACGTAGCGCCGAGTGAGTCATACCCGCTCCTCTCACCCGTACTACGTCCTCTGCCGACAACACCACGTTCCTAAGAGTATTGTCAGCCGCGTAACGCCATCTCTGATTTAACCCAGGCAACTGCCTGACGTTTCTTTTAGCATATTGAAGAAATAATAATTTAAAATAATTGCGTAGTGCTAGATGGCACCACTCCGACATATATATTAACTGTTTCGTCTATATTAGGTTGGTCTACGGATAAATTATAAATGAACTGCATTCAAGGTAACACTATGTTTAAGCATACTAAATTAATATTTGATAGTCAAAAATAACATTTGATCTTGTATTTTCATATAGGTCAAATTTTGGTTGCGCCCTCTATTCAGTAGGTTAGGTTAGTATATGAAAAAGCAGGGTGCCGCGGGAGCCAATTTGCTTGCTTTTCCGAACATGGTTTACGGTTTTTCAACGTTCATTTGCCTTAGTTTTGAGTCTCAATATGAAACTATCAAAGTTAATTTATACAAATCAAACATTAGCGCTGGACAAATTAAAATAGATAGTGATTTAATTTGTTTTACGTCTCAGAGAAAAAGGATCAATCATTAAAAAAAGACTTACGCTTTTGCAAATTTAAAATGATCATGTTTACATGTATTATAACTAAAATTTTAATTATTACCTGCATCCAGTTTCCCTGCTCATCTCTGTAAGGCCTTAGGGAGCCTACAGGTCTGCCTCTCCAGCTCCAATCGTGGTCAGGCACCAGATCCTGCTGCTGCTTCCACGGGTCGTCTTCATCTTCAGACGAACAGTTGGAATCTGTGTCGGAGACTTCCGATTTGCGCTTCGGTGACGGTGGGGGCTGGGGTTTCTGGAAGAGGTGATATAACATAGTCTTATACAAATCTTACAAAAATTTAAAATTTAAGTTACATTATGAAAGGCATTAAGAGGGTGCAGAGGAAAAATTCCTAATCTTCGATTTGATTTTAGAGGGGTATATTCACTTTAAACTTAAAAATAAAATATTGTATGAGTAACTACACGGTATATTCAAGCATAGACATCAATCAGATACATAAAACAATAAAGTTTCCTCGATAGATAAAAATCACGAAATGACCTCTAATTTTCACATTTTTTCGATTTATCCTCGATATGCTACAGGTTATTAGGACAAAAATTAGATAATTAATTATATTTATGCATGATCGACAACTGTCACTACGGATTTTTTTTTAATCCCTTTAGTTTTAGAGTTATTCCGCTAAAACGAATTTGGTACTTTTAATGCGCAAAATCCAACATCTCCTGTCGCATGTCACGCGAACTTAAGGCATATATTTGTTCCACAAATTTGGGCGGAGCCAACGTCAAAACTTTTTTGGCATGAGAGCTCTTAAAATACGAGTGTGGGTTAAAAACATCTCACGAGTGTTTTAATGTCAAATTATGTACAGTTACATACACTGCTTTATCTACACACATATTATAAACTCTCTGTGATGTGTTCAGAAAAATAAAAACTTTTCTCACGCGTGTCACACCACCGTAGTTTTTATTTTTAATTCATAGACAAACAATCGGCCCCAACTATCATATCGTTCGATATCAAGTAACGTGTGAAATTGTCGAAATTGTTTGCTATTGACATTTGATTTCGAATAAAACTTCATCTCGACTGATATTAGAATTGAGGTCGAATCAAATTCTTTTGTTTTTCAGAGATGTAAGAAATTTGAATGTCATAGTACTGTCATAGTCATATAAAATCGAATTCGATGTTATATATTAAGCAATAATAACATTTTCATAGATTAGAAATTTGTTCTAACAAAACAGTTTACCTTTACGCTGGTCGTAATTTGCGGTTGTTGAACACATAATAGGAGTTTATGATATGTGCGTAAATAAATATATTAACTTATTACCGGCTTGCCTAGAATTTACCGCGTATTACAAAAATATTGTACTAAACAACGAGCGCGCATACCCCATCACTTAGAAAGCATATTCAAAATATTCACAATTTAAACGCGTAATAACGTGTCCCTATGCATCTCAACCAATCAGCGCGAGGTAAGCCGGTGGATCTGCGGGTTCTATTTCATTCCATCAAAACACACGTACACATTTGCAAAAATCCGCTTTGAAACATCTAAAGAAGACGGAATTAGTCGAGTTCTAGTCGAATAGCGTTCACGTGAATTTAAACCTTATTCCAACAAATTACTGTTTAATGTCAGAATCGTTGCCAGATGTAAAACTTTCGTAAAATAATGTAACAAAATTATTATAATAGCAAATTAATATAAAATTTGGTTAATCTGTAGTTTGTTAATCTTAACGAAAAATAGTGTTACATATGTATCTATATCTATTTGGGGGTTTCTTTTTAATAGGGCTACGTAAACAATGTGTGTAGAAGGTCATGGAAATTCGTAGGTAATTAAAATAGAAACACTTAGCAATAAATAATGAGTTTATTGGGATTCGCTCTGGACCTTTTGGAGGGAAAAGTGTCGTTTTTATTTTGACTTTCAATTATTTTGTGAAATCTAGTTTAAAGTGGAATAGGATAGTGCTATTGTGCCTTAATCGAAGATTAAAACGCGAAATTATACGAATCACGAACTAAAATACCCGTATCGGCCCGTTTTAAGGAATCCCGAGTCATTCCAAGCACGCCGCCTCAAATTGCCTATCCTCTTTGTGGCGGCCATGTTTACAGAAACATAATTAAACTTCATGTTTAGGCTGATGGCTTTGCCAAAGCTTAATAAAAAAAAAAAATTATAATTTATCGAGTTCTTAGGTTTTCGCGATTGTTACACATAGGAAATTAACTGTTTTTCCGGATTTAAATCGCGTATATTTGTTTTTTCAAACAAACCGACGTTTCGGGCCCTTTACAGGTCCCATGGTCACGGTTGACTGAGGTGGTACAGTCTTCAACCAGTTATGTATAATGAGTTTGTTGAATAACAAACTTTCTAAGCTAAAATGTACTAAATTACTTTAAAAACTATATTTATTTTATGTGTAGAATAAGTTAAAATGTGAAATGTAGTAAACCTTCTTCTTCTTGTGTGCTAATAAGTGTTGTACTTAAGTGTCGCCAAGGTGACTTTTTAACGGGAAAAGAAATTTTTGTTAAAGTAAGTGTTTGTGTTTCTTCAAAAAGTTGCCACTGTAACTTATTAACAAACCAGATTGTAACATTAAATACGTACAAGTATTACAAAATATGAATGGACACCAATTTAAAATAAAAAGAATAGGTGACACTTATCAGAAAATAAATAAACATATTGTAGACTGTTATTAAACCAGCTACGATATTTTTAACCGACTTAAAAAAAGAGGAAGTACTCAATTTGAATGTATTTTTTTATATGTATGTTACGCGATAACTCCGGTGGCATTTGTGAACCGATTTTGATGATTCTTTTTTTGTTGGAAAGAAGGTATCATAGTATTGGTGCCATTTAAAATTTAAGAAAATATTCCACGTCTAAGGGTGGCAAACTAAGTACGTAAGTAAGTAAGTAAAACTAAGTTTATTTGGTTGGAATATCTCACCTGCTTGCTCTGGTCTTGGCGGAGAACAGTTTGGACGTAGGGGTGGTCCGGTGCGAGCGGCACCGAGTGCCTGGGCAGAACGCGAATGCCCAACCATGACATGAAGAGGAGGGCGCCGCGAGGGCCGCACTCCAGGAGGTATGCCCCTATCAGGGCTTCGACGCAGTCTGCTATGGATTTGTCTAAGGGAGAAAAGGTTAATGTAAAATGCATATTATTTGTTAGTTGACCCTACCACTATTATAAAATACCATCGAGTATATAACCAGAAATATAGACGAAATAAGGGCCATCCATCCCTGGCAACTCATTAGGTAAATGGGCCTTATGTCACTTTTAAATATTAACTCTCGTTTGCGCTGAAATCACAAATTAGAAAACTGATATAGTACAGCGGCAACAACTGACCTGTCTGTGCGTCTCCGTATATTACAAAAATGTTCTGTATTTATTGTAATAAAGATAATATATCTAACAATGGGGGGCTGTTCCTTTTGGTGGTATGGGAAAAACAGCAAAACAAACGGAATCACATTTCATCGGTAATTATTTATTTAATATGTAATTTTTCAAAGCTCAAGTTAAACTGGTCGATTTGAAGTGAAACAATTGACGACACCCGTCAATTGTTTCGAATTTGGGCTGGCCAATCGGAGCGCAGTTGTCACCTTAATGATTTGGCAGAATAGTTTTCAAACAAATTAAATGACATTTCGTTTCCATTTCTGGTCCGTTTGAGCCGGATTCAGCCGGATCTAACAAACAGCTAAGGTAGCAGTACTTCTATGGACCAACTCTATCACAAGAAGCTCTACTGCTATTAAAAACAAAGCTAAAGCTAAAGGACCTCTACTTCTTTAGCTTTAGTTACTTTACGAGTACAATATTAAGTTTCTTTTTAACCGCTCACGCGATACATGCAGCCGTAGACGCATACCACACCAAGAGGTGTCGGTGATGATTTTATACCGATTTATCGGATATCGAAGTTACAACAAATAAAAGAACTAATATTAATTGTCATTTCGGTAACTACTCTAGCAAACCATAAAGTTTTTAATGCCTGGGCCTGTCATTTAAAAAAAAAAAAAACAACTTCAAAAATACGTCACGACAATCGTGTGTGTTATTGTTTGGGCTGGTGTTTCGGTGTTTATTCATTGAAAACATACCGTAAGTAGTGTTTTTTAAGTTTACCCTGAATATAAATGTTTATAAACTATACTTTAAGGAGTAATCTCATGGTAAACGTTAGAACCACTCAAACGGAATATTATCATATTTACCCAAGTACACCAAAAATTTCATTAGTGCATTTTAAGTGCAGGATTTGCGGTGTATTACTGCATTTTATTTGAGATGTTTTTGTTGGTAGTACGGAGGGTATATATTTAGCAATGCAGAATAATAATTTTTATTTATAAAAACTTGTATTTAAACTGAATGCTTTTCTAATTTGCGAAACCAAATAGCCGCCATTTTGCGGTAGGAGGAGCGCATCGTGTGAGCGGTTAATGTCGATTCAAAAACCTACCAGGTATACTGTGCTGAGTGATCAGGTTGTAAGGTATGAAGCATCCACTGCCGTCCATGGGTCCTTCTGGAGGTCCTGAATGCTCCTGAGTGTCGGTCTAGGAAAAGAGACAAAATGAATTTCAATATAGGGTATTTGATCAGCGACCCAAAAAGAGGGGGAGTTATAAGATGGAAGTGCCTTCTGTCTGTGGTACACACTTAAGTCTGTAATAGAACATTGTGTATTAAAGGTAATTAAGGAATTACGAACGAGACTCTAGAAGCCCGAAGTCCAATACTGAAGGCTTTCGGAGTCGAGGTTCGCAATTCCCGTACCGCTCGTGAAACATAGAATGTTTTTCACCACATTTGCGTGTAGATAGTATGATTGCATGCAGGCAGAGAACAAAAAGTAAAGAAAACGGACACTTTCCGCCCCTCCCTAGCATTAGATACCGCACCACGCTCCGCACATTGCCGGTCACTTTGACTGAACGACAACAAGGCTGCCGGCGAGCCGTATTCGCGCGAAGACGGCTTTGATATTTGAATATAGTTTTCATTTATTCATTACGAAACTTGTACGTTAATATAAAACGTAATACGTTACTATTTATAATGGTCGTGAATAGTGCTGTGTACGTCTGTTTAACATCATTTTCCGAAAGATGAAACGAAGTAAGTAAAAAAACTTATGTGTGAGACTCATTCAGTTATTCTTTTCCTCATTTATTTACTGCAGAGTAATATATGTATGTATGAAAAATACACATTTATTATATCAATATAATGAGGCACCATGACTTCGTGAGCTAGCTAGTAGACAAGGGTTCTCAAATTTTCAATTCATATAGCTGATAAATATTACGTAAGTAGCGAATATACCTAATTATTAACTAAGTAATGATGATCAACTTGGACACGCAATTTCAAATACCTTGGTAACCTTATTTAAAGGTATGTGCATGTCCAAAACATAACATTATATCGATATAAATAGACATGTGTAATTATTAACTCCGGTATTTGTGAACCGATATTCATGACTATTTTTTTGTTGGAAAGAGGATACCTCCATAGTGGTCCCGTTTAAATTTGAAGAAAATCATCCACCTCTAAGGGAGGCTGCTCACGCATGAAGATTCATTTTTATAAATAGCGCCTAAATTTCATTATAAGGAGCAATTATTTTAATGGTTGATTTTGCTATTCTCCAATTCAAGGCGTTTTTTTCTCTCAATACCTTGAGTAGTGAGAACCGATTTTTACACAGACCACATAAAAGGATTTTTATTATCTCCTGTGTCAAGCCAAGTACATAACCCGAAATAGAAATAATCGAAATAAATCCATCCCTGGCAACTCTTCAGGCAAATGGTATTGATATGGCTTTTAAATATGGACTCTCGTTTGCGCTGAAATCACAAATTAGAAAGCTGAAATAGTACAGCGCCAACAACTGACCTGTGTACGTCTCCGTATATTCCAAAAATATCCTGTATTTATTGTAATAAAGATAATATCTCTAACAATGGCGAGCTGTTCCATTCGGTGATATGGGAAAAACAGCAAAACAACTAATAACAAAACAAATGGAATCTTTCAATTTTCGTCCATTATAGCAACGCTCAAGTTAAACTGATCGATTTGAAGTGAAACAATTGACGACACCCGTCAGTTGTTTGGGATTCGGGTTGGCTAATCGGTGCAGTTGTCACCGTAATGATTTGGCAGAATAGTTTTCAAACAAATTAAATGACATTTCGTTTCGATTTCTGGTCGGCTTAAAATAATACAAGACCCTCTGAATCACGCAGGATGTATGCTGCTTATTTTATTTAGAAATTTAGCTTTCGTCATGACCACTTACAGCTTGTCTGGGGTGTAACGTGGAGGGAGGTTTGTGGCACGGCGGGAGCCAGTTGTCATGCGGTTCGAACTTCGATGCAATCATTCGCGCGCCGAGGCGTTTATTACGCCCAAGACGGTAGAGGTTTAGGTTCGATACCTGAAATAGCACATTGTGTATGAGGGGCGGTTAAGAAGAAATTACGTCACATTTCAATATTACGACATTGGATAATCGAAGAATTCTCCATTGCTAGTGCTAGTGCTCCATTTCGCAAAGCCGTATCTGGCTCAAATTCATCAGTTGCAAGGTTGTGTAGGACGATAAATAATTACTGTGACATTATTGATATTCACCATGACTCTCCTCTCAGGAATCGTAAAAAAACATTTTTAATTTATAAAGTTCAGTCAAATAATTCAATCACATAGGTAAAGCACTCATCAATTTCTAATCATGTTGTTATTTCGACCCCTCACACGTAAAGTATCGTATGTCGAAATTGCCAAGTTTACAAGGGAGCGTTTTAAAGTTTTGTATTCACTAAAATGAGCAAAGCACGTGACTTGAGCATTACTCACATAGAGTGTTATAAAATCCTAGATATCGGTTAGATGATCTATTGGATGATCACTCTTTCAGTGAATTCAGAACTTTAAAAAGCTCCCCTGTATACTTGGCAATTTCGACATACGATTCTTTACGTAGAAGGGGTTTGTCAAAAGTGTAAGTTAGTGCCTCTTTCGCTGAATATCATATTAGCAAATGTTTTAAACTTTAGTTAAACATAGTTTTGTTATCGTGCATGTTTGTGTTTAGCTCTCAGTGTTTGTGGCAATTTCGCTTGTAAAGATATGATAAGGAATATTGTACACAGATGTTGGTAAACCTAATAAATAAATTACCAACGAGAGCTTGTTAGAAGCCCGAAGCCGAAGGCTGAGGGCTTTAATGACCCGAGTTTGTAATTTTTACCGCCCGAGCTACATACAATGTTTTTCATCACATTTGCGAGGAAATAGATACAACGATAATTTAGTTCTTGTATGAATAAATATCGCTTCTTAACACAATATGTATTTACTAATTTTGCAAATGGCGGTTTATTGTTTTCTTTTTTAAATGATTGCCAGTTATTCTTCTATGGATAATACAACTCGGATTGCCGAATGCCGCCAAGCAGTACGGTGAAATTACAGGCACATGGAACTTATCAACTTATGTCTCAGGGTGACGGGCGCAGTGGCAGTGCCCTTCAGATCTTTGCGATTTAAAGCTATGAGCGACATTGCAACTGTTATGGACAGGCGTTTAGCTTACCATGAAGTGCACGACTTATTCGTCCCGTCACTTGATATTATAAAAAAATATTAATATACTTATTATCAACTCCACAAGTCGTTATTAAAATGTTCATGACTAAAAATTACTTGGATACTAATAGATCAACTGTCAAATTAAGAATAAAGAATACAATAACAGAATTTATTAATCATTAGAATGTCGTAACATTCACAATCCAGACATTTTTGGCAAAATTTTACCTTCTTTCATAATCTATCGATAAAATTGTCGACAACAACTACATGACTATTTAAAATTTTACGAAAACTGGCAACCTTGCAATGCAAATGTCATTTTACTCCATCTTCAAAAAAGACAGACTATACCAATATCATAGAACTTTTGACGTGTGGGGTTTTTATTAAACCAATGGTACAATCACCTTTACTAACCTGCTTACTCCTCATGTGGCTCAACTTCCCCTCATGTACAGTGGGATGCGCGCAGTACAAATAAGCCGTAATAGCGAACTTCAAGAAGCTGTCCCCGATGGTCTCCAGCCTTTCCAGATTTATACCATCGTTTGCATTTGACATTGTCAAAGCCTGAAATAAATATAAAATCACTGTTACAAAATTCTTTTTCACCTCACTAGCTCGGAAAGGCTTTCTTTCGCATTAGAATTAAAACTGGAATCTGCGCGCAAAAGCGCTTTTTCCACGCGCGTTGTTTCTAGCATAAAGTATCAAAACGAATTTTGAGTGGCACAATTGATGAATAGATAGATTCTATTTTATTTTTTTATGAATTCGCCGTAATTTTTTTTATACAAAAATATATGATAGTATTTGAGGTACATCTTTGGGCCCAAGTTGTATGGAAGAAAAAATGGATCTTTTCGTACATAAATTCCGAAAAATTGAGAAGTGCGTACCCGGATTCGAACCCACGGGCACTGCTTGATAAGTCAAACAATTAAGCTAAAAAGGCGCTTAAAAACTTGCTTACTGCTTTCTCTTAGAATACATACCTGCAAAATGACACTCGGACTAGGCCCAGGGTGTCCTTCCAAATCGGGTTGGTAATCAAAATCAAATTCTTTACCCAGTCCTTTACCGTCCAAGTAATAAGGCTTACATTCCTTCAAATCCGTCCAATTATTTATCCTTGCCACGTAATTTTCTTTCTTGTCAAAACCGACATTCATAACTTTCTCATTGACATAATTGGGACTGTCAATATCAACGTCTTTCATGGAGAAACAATTTAACTTTGCGATTTCTTCTTCAGTTAAATTCTTCTTTAAATCACAGAGAAGAATCCTCTTGTTCCTTTCTATACTGTCCAAGCATATTTGACCATTTTTAATATTAATCATATCGTGACCGAACGGGAACATTTCTTCAAGTAACTTGTTTTCATCGGTTACTTTACATTTTGACATATTACCGTTAAATTTGCTATTAGCTACTGGTTTAAGTTTTGTTTCACTATCGCAATTACTATTGTTATCTTTATTATTGTCCAAATAAGGTCTATCTGTGTTAGTTACATTGATTTCTTTGTTAGTAACAGAATGCAAATCATCAGTTGGTTCTGTTTTATTGTCTTCAAGTTTCAATGAATCAAAAGTATCATTTTTGTTACTATTTTGGTTATCTTCGTTAATGTCAAGTTTAAGTTTGTTTATTTGATTGGCAATAGAGTTAATGTCGTAAGTTCTTTCCAGTTCTTTGAGTTCAGGCAAAATGGCTTCTACAGGTTGGTCCTCTTTAATTAAAGACTTTTCAAATATCTCTTTTTTATGTTCGTCGACAGCTCGACGGAATTTGTCAATGTACTGCAACAAAGGAAGACAAAACATAACATAATATAAACACAAACATGTCGAAAACGGTCATGAGCACGGACGAAAAATTGCGAGACAGAGGCGCTACTTGCAAGTTACAGAGTGTATCGCGCGCTCCCTCTGCCGGTGGACCTCGACGGAGTCTGGGATCAGTGGTGGTTGGACTCTCGGTTCTACGTTTCGCCTAGTGCCTATTTTGATCGTTAAAATTAATAGAAAGTACAAATTGTTATTCGATTTCAAAGTAATTCAAATGTACAGTGTTACTATTAAATGTAATCGAATTGCAGGATTCTTAAATCTGCCGAAACGACGTCTGAAGATTCAGTTCTAAGCCCTGATGGTTCCGACAAACATGTACTTTATTCTAAATGTTATTATACAGCTTCTGAGTAATTGGATGACAAAAATACGTGGTAGTGAACCGTTTAGCTCATGCAGGTTATTTTCGTTTTAAGATGGTTGAAATAAATATTATATACGATAAATATAATTATTAATACAAAGTTCGAACACACTGAAAAAATAATTCGATCCGGCTGCATTCGAACCAGCGTCTTCAACATACCAGGCCGACGCTCTCCCAGCTAAGCTATGGAACCATCGAGCATAGAACCAGAAATAGAGACGAAATAAGGGCCATATAATCCTGGTAATACATTAGCGATACAGCTCTTATAAATATCAACTCTCGTTAGCACTGAAATATAGACAAGCCAACTAATGACCTGTGTGTATGTCTCCGTATATTCCAAAAAATATTCTGTATTTATTGTAATAAAGATAATATCTCTAACAATGCCGTGCTGTTCTATTCGGTGGTCTGGGAAAAACAGCAAAACGTCTAATTACAAAACAAACGGAATCACATTTCATCGGTAATTAATTATGTAATTTTGCAATTTTCGTCCATTACAGCAAAGCTCAAGTTAACCGGTCGATTTGAAGTGAAACAGTTGACGACACCCGTCAATTGTTTCGAACTCGGGCTAGCCAATCGGAGTGCAGTTGTCACAGTACTGATATGGCAGAATAGTTTTAGAGAACAAACCAGCGGACCCAATGAATTTTTCGCGATAGTCAATAAACTTCATATTATTATGATAAATGTATTCAAATATATATTTACAATGTGCTACCCCTAGAGTTTCTTGCTCGTTCTTCTCAGGAGAATCTTGCCTTACGAATGAGCAGTAGAGTTTAATCAGTATGACTATTGCAAGTTTGTTTACCTATTAAATAAACATTATTTGATTTGACTTCAAAAAAGGAACAATCGCCTATTTTTTAATTAAAAAAAAGCAACATAACCAAACGGACGTTTGAAAAAAAAACTATTGTCTTGGGTATTTCACTGGTATTCAACTAAATTTGCCTATTATCTGTCTCAATCTATCAATATAACGTATTGTATATATAACCAGAAATAGAGACGAAATGTCATTCAATTTGTTTGAAAACTATTCTGCCAAATCATTACGGTGCCAACTGCGCTCCGATTGGCCAGCCCGAATTCCAAACAATTGACGGGTGTCGTAAATTGTTTCACTTTAGGTTGATTTAAAGTGAAACAATTGACGACACCCGTCAATTGTTTCGTATTTAAAAAAAAAAATACGTTTAACTTGAGATTTTCTATAATGGACGAAAATTGAAAAATTACATATTTAATATTTAATTACCGACGAAATCCGTTTGTTTTGTAATTAGATGTTTTGCTGTTTTTCCCACACCACCGAATAGAACAGAACAGCGCGGCATTGTTAGAGATATTATCTTTATTACAATAAATATAATAGTTTTGGAATATACGGAGACGTCACACACAGGTCAGTTGTTGGCGCTGTACTATTTCAGCTTTTTAATTTGTGATTTCAGCGCAAACGAGAGTTGATATTTAAAAATGATATAAGGCCCATTTGACTGATCAGTAACTAGGGATGAGTGGCCCTTATTTAGTCTCTATTTCCGGTTATAAACTCGACGTAATAAATAAATAAATAAAAATAAAATATCTTTATTTTCAGGCAACCAAATGGTCCATAGATTGTTAGTAAACAAAACCTTAATAAATAACTATACTTAGCATAATAATAATAATGAACAGTAAAAGTACACTAACGTAGACTCGGTCACCGAGGCGCATGTGTAGCGTGCAGCTAGTCGAAATGATATTGATTGCAATCTTGGCAAATAGATGTAATACTACGAACGTTTAAGGTTGGTTATTTAATAAAAAGTTATAATTAATTCTTTAAACTGTTCGTTAAAACGTTACCTCTTCCGGAGCGTCGCCAGACTTAACCAGCGTCTCGTGAACACTCCTGTCGTTTGCATCGTCGATTTCGTCAGGCTGTGGTGCTGGGTTGCTCTTCTTCTTTCTTTCCACGTCCACAGCCTCGGCTTCATGAGCGGTTTTGTATTCTATGCGCACGCCCATCGCCGCTACGGAGAAATGGTAATGTTAACTTGATAGTCCACTTGTGGAATTACTTCAATAAACCAATTAAGATCATATACAGTTATTTGTAGAGTATTAATAACCTCGTAGGATTATATTGCTAACATCTATAACAATGTGTAAAAAAATAGTTCATTGTCAAATAAACAAAAGAAGAATGATACTAGTGCGGTGCCATATCGATTCAATATTCGTAATAAAAAAAAAATTATAATATTCATAGATAGATAGACAACACGTTTATTCAACACAAATACAAACAGAAGCAAAACATTTACAATCACTTCACAAAGTATAACAAAAAATCATATAGAACATACATTATTAATTTAGTACACATTTATGTAAAACACATACTGTGAGAATTTAAGAAGAATTATGTATGACCACAGTTTGTGCAGAAATGGCTGTGACTTAGCATAAGTACATAGACCTGCCAATTCCATATGGTGAGCGATTGCAATCCAGCAAGTTATGCCACCAGAGTGCATCACATGCAAATACATATACCCAACTCTTAAAACTATTATGTATCAAGTAAAAATGTAAAGCAAAATAATGTAAGTAGTGTAAGTAATGCAAGTAATGTAAGTAAGTAATATAAATAATAATGTAAGTTACTATTACAAATATAATATTAAATTCTAACTATAGCCACCAAATAATATATAAATAGGCCAAGGTTAGAATTATTCAGAAATAGTCGTAGTAGAAATATTAAAATATACCTTCAAATATTAAAAATGACCAAACTGATAAATTCTTCAAAGTTAAATTAAAATGTTATTATTCTATACCGGGTGTAACAGAAAGGTGTGGTCATATTAAAGGACCCAAATGTACACTTGATTTAGACCCTGTGTGCAAAATATCAAATAAAAATAAGTGACTTTTAATGTTGATATAAGTTTAATTATGTTTGTATAAATAGTGATTGTCCGAAACAACCACTGCGTCACAACTCTATTGCTAGTTACGTTACTACGACTTCACAAATTCATTCATGAAACCTGGGCGGCCGCAAGCGGGGCGAAAGAACAGCTGACTACAATTGAAATGCCATTGTAAAAACGTGATTTGAATATGTTGATAATACGTTAATATTAAGTAACAAAATCTTTAAATACCTAGAAAAATCGAATCATTTCTAACAATATTATTTTATGCCATACCTAGGTACGCGTACGTATTTATTTACATACAATTTAAAGAATATTTATTTACTTATTAAGCCCGTAGTTACGCACGCCTTCATCGTATACACATTTTACATAGTTTAGTATTAATACATTTATTTACGACAATTTTACAATAGTGGATACTTTTTTAATTGGTACTTACCTACTGTTCAATTCATACACGTTTTAATGAATTTCCTACGAATTGTAATTGTACAATGTACGAAATATTGACTTGTTTACGATAATTTTGAATAATAAGCACAATCACTGCACGCACTGCTGGCACATTTCACACATTTACAGGTAAGGTTCAAAATGCCGACCTCCATGCAATATGCATATGTCCGTGTGTCGGTACAGAGACTGCTCTACTCTTTGAAGCATCTGCCGAGTGATTTGACTAAATGCCATTTCGATCCGCTGCCTCATTTCTTCTGCGCTTTCACAGGACTCCGCATAAACAATATTTTTTATATGATCCCATAAAAAATATCGAGCGGTGTCAAGTCTGGGGACCGCGCTGGCCAGGGTACAGGACCTCCCCGCCCAATCCACTGCGGGAAACGGTCGTTCAGATGGGAACGTACATTTCGAGCAAAATGTGCGGGTGGTCCATCGTGCTGGAAAGTCATCCTGTGTTCCATCACGAGTCTCACGT